CAGAGTTGCAGAGTCGTTTAAGAGCTTGGCCACGGTGGTTGGGGGATCCTGGGACATGTAGTCCAAAAAAAGTTATTCCCAAACTATACACACACACAGAGACATACATCATGTACACAAAGATACATGCATGCACATACATGGTCCACTGTATGTGCATATATTCACATATATATACTATACTATTATACATAGAAAGAGAAATAGACACACACTCACAGAGATACACAGCCATGTAAGAGCTTGGCCATGGTGGATTCTGATATTTGTAGTCCAAAACAGTTACATTCCCAAAAGCTATGCACAAATACACACACATGTATGCAGTGTATACAGATACACAAATACACAGATGTACACATGAACACATATGTACTTACCCACAGCAGTGCATGCATATACACCACATACACCAATAGATACACACCCACAGCCTCTCAGGGAGCAAAATCGTTTTTCCCTGAATTGCGATGAAAAATAGGGGGGAAAGCCAATGTCCCCTTTCACACACCCCCATCCCTGTGTGTGATCTATGGATGGGGCTGGAGATCCTGCTGAATTTTATCTCAGTCCTCCCTTAAACTTGAAATTGATTCTGCCTGCCCCCCTCCCACACATCTCCCTTTTCACCCACTAGGAGTTCTCAGAACAGCTGGACTTTATGGCCCAGCTTAATTGCTTTATTATTCCGATTCTGATTCTTAACCATTTCTCAGGCACTTTTCATGTCCCCAAGGGCCTTGTAATTCTTGTCTCGTTTATCCTCCCCAAGACCCAGCCCCCCTGAGGTACTTAAGCTGAAGAGATACTGGCCGGTCAAGGTCAACCAAGGAGCTTGCGGGATGAAGAGGGATTTGAGCCAGAGGCGGCTGGCGCCCAGATGGTGACAACACTCCCTCCTCCCCACAGCTGATTTAATGTTGTTGTGCTGTGACAGAGTTGCCATTTCTTTTTTTTCCCCACACAGCTTCTGTGTGACTGTTAACATCTGTTAGATGTTCAACAGCTTAAGCAGAAGGGGACCCGTTGAACAGGTGCAGTTGCACGAAAGAGATGTTTGTCCCTCAGGCTGCCATTCAAAGGGTGGGGTGGGGACTAACAGATAGCAAATACAGTGGTGCCTCGCTTAACGACGTTAATTCGTTCCAGCGAAATTGCTGTAGAGCGAAAATGCCGTAAAGCGAGAATAAAAACCGACTGAAACACATTGAAAACCCTTCAATGCGTTCCAATGGGTTAAAAACTCCCCATCCAGCGAAGATCCTCCATACAGTGGCCATTTTCGGTGCCTGTATAGCGAGGAATCCGTCCCTAAGCACAGCGGGGAGCCATTTTGAGCACCCGGTGGCCATTTTGAAAACCTGACGACCAGCTGTTTTGATCCTTGTAATGCGAAGAATTGGTTCCCAAAGCAGGGAATCGATATTCGCAAAGCAAAAAAAAAACCCTTTAAAACATTGTTTTGCGATCGCAATTGTGATTGCAAAAACATCATCGTGAAGCGCATTTGTTGTAATGCGGGGTAATCATTAAGTGAGGCACGACTGTAACATGTCATGCTCTGGCCCTGCTCCTGGATTTTTAAAAGCAGAGGAACACTATGGGAAGGTGGCCACACAAGGAAAAGACCCTGCAGTTGGGCAGAAGAAGGAATTCCAGCCATCATCCTTTCTTTGCCCACTCAATGTGGTGTCATGGATAGAAGGATGTCCTAAAACTAAGGAGATCTGGGTTCGGATTCCTGCTCTGCCACAGCAACTGGCCCTGAGAGTGGCGCTGGGACAATCATCATCATCGTCATGCATCGTCAAGTCAATTCTGACTTATAGCGCTCCTTTTCAAGGTCTTCCAGGCGGAGAATACTCAAAAATGGTTTACCATTCTCTTCTTCCAGGGGTGTAGATTCCAGGGGTGTTGAAGGCTACATAGGTTCATTCTACTTACAGGAGGATTGAATGGCCAACATCTGGCTCAGCAACCAGATACCTAAACCACTGAGCTATCCAGTTGTAAATATCTCACTTACTTTGAAAGCACTGTTAAGCTTACGATTAGGTCGGTTCTGACTTGATGGCGCATAGTGCACACGCATCCAACACATTGTTTGCATGAAATTCCTTCTTTCACTCCACTATTAAAGGCGCAGGAGCCCCGTTCTTCTTTTCATGTGGCCACTCTGTACCAGGGCCGTATTTGAGTGCTTGAGGAAGAACTGAAATGCGAGGCCCACCCACTCAAGGTGCACAATTCCCAAAGCCGATTAAGTTATTTCTGCTCTGGGGGTGGAAAATCCCACACACATATTTCCCTGTTGCAGAGGGGAGAAAAATATAATAACAAATGAAATACCATTTGTTGTCCTCTCACAATGACCCCAAATTGCTGCCTGAGGCAGTTGACTCACTCTGTCCAATAGTTGGGCCGGTCCTGCAGGAAGCAGCTGAAATATTCAACACGAGTTTACTAATCTGTGGAGATCAATGATATGAATATAAGGCTTGCCAGCTGAACGAAAGGTGGAAGGCCAGGCCGGCCAGACAGCATGTCTTTAGCAGCCACTTAAGCTGCAAATATTAGCTGCAGAAGGATCTTGAAGCATGATAACTCACTGCTGTTTGCAAAGAGCAGTGCTATTAAAGGCGCAGTAGCAGGGACTGGTAAAATACTTGGCAAATTTATTCAAAATAATAAGAGAATCAAATCTATGTGCATAGGAGCAGAACATGAAAGCAAACAAGCAGTAATATTAGTCCTGAGGGTTCCCCATATTATTTTTCAATCATCATTATATCATCGCTTTGTATCTCCACCATTCTTATTAGATCCCGGCCCATCTTAGGCTGGATTTGGGCACCGCGAATTAATTGCACATTTTTTCTAAGTGTTTCTCTGACTCCAGATTCCCCTCTCTTCAGATAAGTGGATGACATAATAATAATGGTGTGCCATCAAGTCAATTCTAAGTTATGGTGACCTTTCTCACGGTTTCGAGGTAAAAGATTCTCAGAAGTGGTTGACCACTCCCTTCTTCTGAGGAGCCCTGGGGCTGTGCAGCTTGCCCAAGGCCACCCAGGCTGGCTCTACTCATAGTGGGAAATTGAACTGCCAACCTCTGGCATACCTAACTCACTTAGCTATCCAGCCAGTGAGTGGTATATAAAGGTAAAGGTAAAGGTTCCCCTTGACAATTTTTGTCCAGTCGTGTCGTGTTCGAGGGGGCGGTGCTCATCCCGTTTTCAAGCCGTAGAGCCAGCGTTTTGTCCGAAGACAATCTTCCGTGGTCACATGGCCAGTGGGACTTAGACACAGAACACTGTTACCTTCCCACCGTGGTGGTACCTATTTATCCACTTGCATTTGCATGCTTTCGAACCACTAGGTTGGCGGGTGCTGTGACAAAGCGACGGGAGCTCACTCCATCGTGTGGATTCGATCTTACAACTGCTGGTCTTCTGACCCTGCAACACAGGCTTCTGCGGTTTAGCCCACAGCGCCACCACGTTTAATAAACTGATTTAGCCACCATCATTGGAGAGAGAGAGAGAGGGTAAACAACTTTGGAGTAAACACCTTCAAGTTCAAGAACACTATCTGCCTGCCTGCCTGCCTGCCTGCAAGCTTACGATTAGGTCGGTTCTGACTTGATGGCGCATAGTGCACACGCATCCAACACATTGTTTGCATGAAATTCCTTCTTTCACTCCACTATTAAAGGCGCAGGAGCCCCGTTCTTCTTTTCATGTGGCCACTCTGTACCAGGGCCGTATTTGAGTGCTTGAGGAAGAACTGAAATGCGAGGCCCACCCACTCAAGGTGCACAATTCCCAAAGAGGATTAAGTTATTTCTGCTCTTGAGGTGGAAAAGGGAGAGGGGCTGACACACCTCCACAGGAAGAGCATTCGAAAGCCAGGTGGCCACTACCGAGAAGGCCCAGTTCCTAGCTGATGACTTATGAGTCTCCCTCGGAGTGGCCACCTATAGGTAGGGGGAAGAAATCACCCCATGGTGCACTGTGATCCATGCACAGTGAAGCTGGGTTGGATCCAAGCTTAGTCAAATTTAGAGGAAATCCATGAAGCCATGACTACATTTACAGTGGTGCCTCGCTAGACAGTTACCCGCATGACAGTTTTTTCACTAGACATTGACTTTTTGCGATTGCTATAGTGATTCGCAAAACAGTGATTCCTACGGGGGAATTTACTGTTTGCAAAGAGCAGTGCTATTAAAGGTGCAAAACAGTGATTCCTACGGGGGAAGTTTGCTGGACAATGTTTCGTCCCTGCTTTGCAAACCGATTTTCGCTAGACAACGATTTTGACCGCTCCCTCCGTGCTCGCAAAACGGGTGTTTTCAGGATTTAAGCTTCGCAAGACAGCGATTTAAACAGCTGATCGGTGGTTCGCAAAGCGGCTTTCCTATGGCCGATCTTCGCTAGACATCGATGATTCTTCCCCATTGGAATGCATTAAACTGGTTTCAATGCATTCCAATGGGGAAATGCTTTTCACTAGACAATGATTTCGCTAAACAGCGATTTCAGTGGAATGGATTATCATTGTCTAGCGAGGCACCACTGTACTGTATGATATGAGTTTAATTCAGCGGGAATCAACTAGTGCAGCTCCCAAAATGCAGCTGGCATACAATAAGACATTCCCATAGTTGATTGTTCTTTAAGATCCTTGAAGCCACATTCCAGACCAGTGGAGCTGTATGGAAATGTTCAGATGCAGCCTGTATACAGTATGCTGAAATAATCCAATCTAGGTAACTAGATGTATTTCTAGCGTAGGTGCAGCTGGTGCACCAGTCTAGCGTGGCAAATGCATCCCTGGCTACAGTTTCTTACAACCAATCATCCAGGTCTCCCCCTTTTTTGTCGTAACCGATCGCGGCCTTTCCCTAGCCAGAACGCCACCTCTTAATAGAGGCGGGCTCAAAACTTCAAACAACTTTTCCTGTTAATAAAAGAATTTTATTAACCAGGCTGTAAAAACAGGCTGCCTGGCACAGCTTGTAACAGAAGCCTGTATGTAGCAAGGTTTCAGTAGACCAACAGATTCTTGACAGTGTGCTCCGTTGTAATGCTCTTCTTGCAATTTCTGTTGTTGCTGCTGAAAAGGTCAGTGTTATTTAATGCACTTGCTTGTTCCTAGAACTTGCTTGGTCTCAAATATCTTGTCAAACCTGTCTCTCTTGTATTTGACAAGTTCAGGAAGAGGCCATGGCTTCAGGGTTTTAAAACACAGGCAGAGAGGTGAAGCCAGCCATTTGGCCCTTGGAGGTTGGGCTAGGTTGTAATCCCAAATGGGGTCCTTTACCGATGACTGTACGAGCTAAAACATTATGAACACCTGTTTTGTTTTCGTCCTCCTCTCCCTCAGCAGATGGCTGCTCCTTTAGACTGTTCTCGGCTGATTCAGGAGCACCGGGAACGGCTCCTGCGTTGGATTGAACCCAGCCCAGCTCCGTTGCTCCGTCGACTCTGGGATGGTGGGGTCCTCACCCAGCCGGAGTACTTCTCCTTGCTGGAAACCAGTCCCAAGACAAACCAAGTCATTGCGCTTCTGGACAGAGTCAGTGGGAAGCTGGAGGACAGCCAGAAATTCCTGGAAGAGCTGAAAGAACTCAACGAGGTGTATTGCCCTGAGCTACAGCAATGGCTGCAGGAACACTGCCCTGAAGAAGAAAAACGAGATGTGCCTCTGATCCAGACAGGTAGCGCTGCAATGACAAAACTAGTCTCCAGGGGGCATCAGTTAGAATTTTGGAAAGCTACTCAGTGTGCCTGGGGTAGGGTGGGAATTCTAATATATAAACAAAACTTTTGGGAAGGAAGAGAGGGGTGGGCAAGGTATTTCTGTGCTAAACCTTATTCTTCGTTTGTCAGTCTGCATCTCTGCTGTGTCACACACTTCAAAACATTTAGAGACTAGAATATCTATCAATTTTGCTTTCTCCAAGCAAAATTGGATTTTTGCGGGGAGGCGGGAGTGGTTGTGTATGAATCAGCCATTTTCCATCCTGGACAAAAAAATTTGCATGTTGTCAGATTCCTGAAAGACAAACTGAAACAAAATTCTTCTCTTCCCCCCCGCCATTGCACTGTACAAATTAAATAAATAAATCTAATTTTAGATTTTAGAATTGCTGAGCTGGAAGCAACCCTATGGATCATTGGATTCAGCTCCTGTCAAGAAAGCATGGGGGTGGGATCGAACTCCCAACCTACCTAAACTCACTGAGCTACCCAGCAGTTAATTACTCCCATTTTGTATCTGCTTCCCATGTAAACATTTGAGAGGAGGAACCTTTGAGAGAGAGAAAAAAAGCATCAACCCTAAAATGGTTACATACACAAGGACTCAAATCCAGAGTCCAGTGAATAAAATATTGCCTGCAGGGTCAGATCTGACAAGCTTTCCCAAGATTTGAATGCTCTAAATCTCTGAAATATGAAGAAGTATTAAAAATGGATTTGAATGCCCGTCTAGCTGGGTTTTACACATTGAATCCAGCGTTTCTGCTCCTTCTAAATCATTGCTTCATTTCCCTTGCAGAGCCTTTTCCCAGACCTTCCAAAAGATCTTTCCTGAAATTTTGGAAATCAAAGAAATACAAGTTTCCAACAACATCTGCAGGCAAGTCAGTCTCCCCCATGACCTCATAAGGATGTTTCTATTTCTTTTTCTGTTTATTATACAGTGGTGCCTCGCATAACGATGTTAATTGGTTCCATTAAAAATATCGTTATGTGCAAACATCGTTAAGCGAAACACCATTTCCCATAGGAATGCATTGAAAACCGGTTAATCCGTTCCAATAGGAGCCTATTCAATACATTTCAATGGTGAAAACAAAATCACCAAAAATTCAAAAAGACTCAGAACGAAGCCAAATTACTTTAACGAAGGTTTTATTAGGTGCACTAATGATTCCAAGCATTTTAAACATTTTCTAAACATTTTAGAATATTTTTAAAATAGCAAAAACAGGGCTGTCAAAAAAAACGTTAAGCGAAACAGGGGACCTAAAACTGTCATCGTTAAGTGAAGCAAGGTCCCAAACATCGTTATGCGAAAATCCCCCATAGGAAACATCGTTAGGTGAGGCGGCAAAATTTCCAGCAAAGGCCATCATTATGTGAATTCATCGTTGAGCGAGGCACTCGTTAAGCGAGGCACCACTGTATTTGTATTCTGCTTAGTGGTGTAGTGGCGCCACAGCTTGCAAGGCTGAAACCCCGGGATTTCCTGTGATATTATCTGTAGCCCCAATTCGGTTTGAGCTTAGTTGCAGTTCTCACAGTATGCTGTGAACGCAATGCATTTTCCTAGAAACAACATACCGTTGCAAGTTGTCTCTTTTATCTCCGGGGATGGTTTGGTCCTGAAGGGGTAGTTAGGAGCCATGAGCTTTACAGAAGACCTGCTCCTTAAGGGTTAGTTTGGTCGATTCACTTGTCCAAATATTTGGACTTTCCTAATAGAGCATGGTGACCTTAGCAGCTGTCATGATGATCTATGGAATTTCGAATTTAGCATGAAAGCAGTGCTTTCTGTTTTTCAGCCAAGATGTGTTTCTAAGCCTCTTACAATTGGATTCATGTACAGTGATATGACAAGGTGGATCGGACCTGATTCCTTGTAGACAGAGTGTTAAGTAACAGCCCAAGGGTTGGATGTAAGACATGTGGTGTGGGTAGGAAGAAATGGCAGGTTAGCTGTTTGCAAACAGGGGAGGGGAGAGAAAGCACAGATCAGAGGAGGATTATGTCCAGTTGCTACTCTCTGACAATTCCCCTTATATTATGAGACAAGTGGCCAAATTCTGTGCTGCAGCAATGGTTATAGTCGTGCCTCGCTAGACAGTTACCCCGCATGACAGTTTTTTCGCTAGATATTGACTTTTTGCGATCGCTATAGCGATTCGCAAAACAGTGATTCCTATGGGGGAATTTCGCTGGACAATGTTTGGTCCCTGCTTCGCAAACCGATTTTTGCTAGACAACGATTTTGACAGCTCCCTCCGTGCTCGCAAAACGGGTGTTTTCGGGACCTAAGCTTTGAAAGGCAGCTATTTAAACAGCTGATCGGACGTTTGCAAAGCGGCTTTCCTCTGGCCGATCTTCGCTAGACAACGATGATTCTTCCCCATTGGAATGCATTAAACAGGTTTCAGTGCATTCCAATGGGGAAATGCTTTTCGCTAGACAATGATTTCGCTAAACAGCTATTTCAGCGGAATGGATTATCATCGTCTAGCGAGGCACCACATTATTCGTAATTATGTTTGGATAGGTGATTTTAGGTGGATAATACTGTATAATGCTTTTAATATAACACTGGCTGTGGTTTTACTTATATTAAGGATATATGATGTTATTAAGTGGAAAGTATGGGTTGTTTTATCATGTTTTAATGGAATTTTATTACCCTGACTGACTTTACAAAACTATAATTATATGTATCTATTTTATATTGATTTGGTTTTACTGGTCTTTGACCATAATAAAGTATTAAATTAAAAAGCACAGGGCCGGCCCTACCATCCGGCAAAGTGAAGCCGATCTCTCAAGCAGCAGATGT